TTGCTGAAGGGTCACTTCAAAAATTGTAATACATATAGTATGAAATATATTAAATCTTTCTATTAAATTTTTTTAGAATAATAGGTTTCTCAAGTTCACTAACGTTTATCGCTTTTCTGAGTAGTCATGGGGTTTCCTTCCTAGCCTTCTGTTTATGTGTATTACAGGCCCTAACAATTTTAGTTGTTGTTCTTGTTGCCCGCGAAAGTGATGATTTTATAGCGCAAAGACATGAGATTCGTAGAAGTGGTCCTTGCAAAACTTACAGAATTATATATATATATATATATATATATATATATATATATATATATATATATATATAAGCTTATTTCAACCGACGAAAAACTAAAATTCGTCATACTTATTTAACTCCGTTATAAACTTAGAAATTTAACTGTGAACCATTTTTTATTCCCCATATGAGGTGATTTTGGATTTTATTGTGTATTAATTTCTGTTTTGTAATAATAAATACATTGAGCTCTTTTTGTGCATTAGTTTTAATATTTTATATTACTTGGATCCACTTGGATTATATACCAACGAATTTATTAACTTTACTATATATATATATATATATATATATATATATATATATATATATATATATATATATATATATATATATAAAATGATTGCTTCAAAAGTTATTCTTGGATTATATAGCAATGGATTTATTACCTGTACTATACTCAGCGTGGTGTAATGGTTAACAAGCTTGTCTCGCTAGATCAATTATAATTGAAAAGTGAGTTCAATCTTCATTTGGTGCCCAATACTTTCGGCCTTCTGCCACATCTAAGCTATGCTTAGAAAATTATATATAAATATATATATATATATATATATATGAAAAAATAAAGAACAAACAGTAAACGCATATCAATCTAATATGTATCACTTACATCAAAGCTACGTCAGTAAAAGTGAAACTTGATATATTCTATATATTTCCTTTTTGTTCTTTATCTTATTATCCCGTCGTATTCGGATCCATATTTGATATTCATTTGATCTTTTATCTCATATATATATATATATATATATATATGTGTGTGTGTGTGTGTGTGTGTGTGTGTGTGTGTGTGTGTTTCGTTGAATATGACAGACCTGTAAATATTAAGTAATTTTATTTAGTTTTGCCAGCATTCTAACATTTTCCCTGTTTGTTGGGAGTAATGGACTGCAAAAATTGTCTTTATGCAGTATATATATATATATATATATATATATATATATATATATATATATATATATATATATATATATATATATGTGTGTGTGTGTGTGTGTATGTATGTATGTATGTATGTATGTATGTATGTATGTATGGAATGCATAAAGAAGTGGTCGAAGCTCTTAAAACAATAAATAATACGGGCAATTTTTGCAGTCCATTACATACATACATACATATATATGCATTACATACATACATATATACATACATATATATATATATATATATATATATATATATATGCGGTATTTAGTGGAACGTCCTTAATATCCGTGATGGAGAATTGTTTGTGACCTTAGGTTTGACGCTAAATTCACACCAAAGGTTACAAACAACTCTCTATGCAAACATATCATATCATATCATTCATATTCATATATATATATATATATATATATATATATATATATATGTGTGTGTGTGTGTGTGTCTGTAAAATAAATCTTTTTTTCGTCATCAGGCAATGTATTTAATGATACATATTGTAAAATAAAGCAATATATACATATATGTGTTTATGTAAGAGATGAGTGTTAGAAAGGTTAGATGAAGAAATACTGTCAATTTAATCAGACGTTGGTATTTTTGCATATGTTGATATGACTCGTCCATATATTTTCAATGATTAACCTCTACACACACACACACACACACACTCATATAAATGCATGTGTTTGTAGGTGTGTACGTATATATATTAATGAAAATCCCAGTTTGAAACGTGCCTTTTCATCTGCACATCTACGACGAATACTTTCTTCGGTAGCGACTAAATACACGCCTGAATCCTTTCCTCCTGAGCTGACTCTTAAAATACAAACTTGTTTTGATAGATCTGAAAGAAAAAAAAATGAAATTCAGCTGTAAATGTACGTTTTTAAAAAAGGAAAAAAAAAAAATCATTTTAAAATATAAAAAAAAAAAAACACCACTCTTCCAATTCACTCAGTCGCTCCGAAAAATAATTTTATAAATAAATAAATAAATAAATAAATAAAAAAAACATCAGCTCAAAATCAAACAATATCATTTTCTTGATTGAATCTCTTTCGGCAGATAAAACTACTTTTCCCGTTTGAAGATTTGTTTTTATTTTGTTTTATTTTTATTTTTTTAATTATCTATTTATTTTACTTTTAATTGAATGAGACTGACTTAGCGGTAACGGTTAACAGAACAAGGTATCATCTACTTGTATAAACTGAGTTCGAATCTTTACTGAAAAAGGTCTTGCCCACTTGGCTCTGATATATTTGGTAAATATATTATGCATGTGCAAAAGTTCCCAGCGAACTTAAAATAAAAATAGAGATTAAATATACACAGTTGAAAAACGGTCGCTGTCGCTGGAAACTTTTGAACTACTCTTACATCTGACCTCTCGCATATCTTGACAAGGGATATCTTGCTTCTGACACCAAGTTAAGCGAGCATCTCCTTCAATAACTCCCCCATACATTCCAGTCTGAGGGTATTTAACCTCTGTCACTAATTTACGGCATGATGATAGAATTAGTTCCGTGGAGTTTTCAAACACACCGTTTAATATATATTGTAGATATATTTTTTTGATCTTAATTTTTCTTTTTTTTTTCTTTTTTTTTGTTTTACATTGTTTTCGGTCTTCTTTCTGGTTTTTAAATGATAAATAAAATAAAAAAAAAAGTTTTATCTTGAAAAATCGGTTTAAAAAGACAGTATTAAAAAAAGTCATTTCTAAAAGTTCAAACATGTCGAACTAGTTTTCATTATATTTTAAGTACAGAAATAAAACTGCTTGCAATTCACACAGAAATTACGACTAAAACTAGAAACTTCTTGACAGATGTATTTAGAACCTTGCTTCATTAATCATGAAAATTTGTTTTGTTTATTTTTTTTTCTTTTACGATGATATTCAGCCTGTATAAGGCAGAGAAACAACTCCAGTTAGAGTTAGGGATATGTGAGAAAGATAACGGCTGACCTTAGACATGAACAGGTTAATATTATAGTGATCGGGGAAGCATTCTTTTGGGAGTCGGTTCCACAAAGCAGCAGTTCGTGGAATGGAGCTGCTCGAAAGGAACTTACATCTCACCAATGGAATTCGAAGGAAATGAAGGTGGTTCGTTACAATGTCCGTAGCATGGAGGGTTAGGGTTAGGGTTAGGGTTAGTAAAGATTGTAGTTTGTCTAAACCCTTTCCAGAGAAATAGCGATAGTGAGGCGAGAGGCTTGCCACGGTTTCGTCTGTGACAAAGAGATTGTACTTAATATTAAAAAGATAAAAAAAACAACAACAAAACTATCAGATGTTTGAATAAACCAAAGCTACTAACCAAGAGTTAACTGTAAAAATGGGGTCTAGACTAATTTTCAGGTCCGGAGTGTCTATGAAAGACGTCCGCAGAAACATGATTCTGATAACTTGCGTGTCTTTAAATGTAATTCAGCGACTAAGGTTTAATAAATAAATTTTAATAAATTATTGTATTAAATGAAGATTTCATTGGCGATAAAACGTTTTTTTTCTTGGAAGTTTTTCCTTTTTTTATTTTTTGTTTGTCAAGTGACACAGAAACTGATTAAACTGTCATCAATCTTTCTTATCTTCGTGCTTTAGTAATTTGTGTCTCTGTTTTCGGAAATTTATTCCTTTCATTTAAAATGTTTCAAAGAAGAAAAAAAGAGTAAGGAAAAATCTTCCCCCTACCAAAATAATAATAATAATAATAATAATAATAATAATAATAATAAAGGAATTCCTAATAGGCCATGCATTAAAGAAATACAAAAAAGTGTACTCACAGGTACAGCTCACATATTAGGAAGAGCTTCAACTATTTAAATTGTGTGTGACCTTAGTTTTTTGAGTTTTTTTTTTATAAAATGATCAGTAGAAGATGTCATTAAGTCATTGCTGGCCTTAGGTCTCTGGTTGGGATCCAGAAGGAAACGTTTATACAACAGAAATCCCAGGAAAAATAATAATAATAATAATAATAATAATAATAATAATAATAATAATAATAAAGTCAAATAACTTAGTGTACCTGGTATTATTACTATTGTTATTATTATTATTATAAGTAAATACTATATATTGTCCTCATATATATATATATATATATATATATATATATATATATATATTGGGGTTGGTGCATAATTATCAGGCGTTTTTGAATAGTGTTTATTATGAAATAGAAACATAATAATTCAACAGTAATATTTTAAATGAGGATGATTATCGATCCATATTTTTATAAGCTGATAATAAAATAATATTTTTTGTAAACAAAACAGCAATTATTATTAACAAATAACTCGCCTACAAAAACGCCTGATAATTATGCACCAACCCATTATATATACATATATATACACACACACACACACACACATCATGCTGGATACATTTTTTTATTATTAAAATATCCACCTTATACCACAATGGTTCGTTTACCAGCAATAGATTAACCCCTAAACATTCCTGTTTGACTTGTCAACGGATATGACACCAAAATAATAATAAAGAAAAGAATACGATTATAAATATGATAATCTGGATTATTAGTTAGAATAAAATTAAAATACTTCAAAATCCAGATATAATTATGAAGGAAAAAATCAGTTGAATTCTTTTTTTTTTTTTCGAAATATTCCTTGTCAAATAATAAGTTTTGCATTGTAGGCTTGGAAATATATGGCGAGGAATGGAAGAATAAAAACATAAAATTATGGTAGTTCTTTCTTTCATACTGTCATCTTTTTAATGCTATCTATCTATCTATCTATCTATCTATCTATCTATCTCTATATATATATATATATATATATATGTCTAATGAACTTTTCAAATTTATTTCTGTATGTTCTTAGTTTTCTTTTTTTTGTTTTATTTCGCCTTTTTCATTTTTGTAACGATTTTCTTTCTTTCTCATCTTGTTCATAAAATCGTTTTAAATCTATCTATCTATCTATCTATCTATCTATCTGACTGGATGCCAGTATGTGTGTGCTTTTAAGTATATTTCAAATAGAACGTTGAAAAAGTGCCTATGTAACCTGTGTGTGTGTGTGAGGGTGTGGATCACAGCGTAGATATATATACATACAAGAGGAAGCCTATGCACACACAGATACACATATGCACACACACACACACAATACACACATGCATCAGTAGATAGATAACTGCATACCTATTTCCTTGCAGACACATGTAACATACGTACATGAATCGATCTCTCTAGCTTTGTGTATATAATTCGTTTGGGGAACAAAAATAGTTTTAACTCAATGACACCTTCCTTATAATTACTACTGCATTCAAACCGCTAAATAAATAATGCCTATTAAAGAAAAAAGTAATTAAATATGGCATTCTACAAATCCAATCATCACAACTCAAAGCTACGGGCAAGTTCTCTTTTGTAAGAAGAGAGTCTTTCAACATTAGGCTCAAATTGATTAACTCTCGTGATGCCTGCCTCCGAAATGACAATCCTTTGACGAATAATATAAATTCTGTTCCGATGATTTGATATTAATCATTCCGATGTGAAAGACAAGAATAATTTTTTTCTCCTGTCTCATATTGTAAAAAGAGACTAAATCTTTTGGCTTCATTAATATTTCTTGTTTTGCGATATTATATATACTGGCATTATTCATTTAATTAAATCGAAATATTTATTTTACGTTTAACTGAATGAAAATCTTAAAAAAGTTTTTAGATTTAACGCCAAGTTTATTAATGAATAATATCTGCGATATTTATGCATATATTTCGATAACAAATAAATGGCATTTAGTCGTAAGCGAGAATCATTTCGTTAATTTGATATTAGATGTTTTAAAAATGGATATTAATATGCAAGTTATATCGATGAAATGTGTTTATTTATTATTTGCAATTCTTTGGTTCTGTTAAAAAAATTCCAACTGAGGCTATTGTTAATACTTCGCAGATAATATTAAAAAAATCTTTAAAAATTGTTATCTGAATCCCAGTTTAAAGCTAGGAAGATTTAAAAAAATCTATTTGAGGATTTAATATTCGCTTCTTATTTTAGGTAATTATATGATTGGGCAAAGATATGAATCAGTTAGTTGGATCGAGACTGACTCCCCATGTTGTTGGAGGTGGGGAAAAGGGTGGGGTTTCATTCTACTGCCTGCGACTACTATAGGGTGTGTGTTTGTATATGTGTGTGTGCCCGTGTGTGAAACACGTAGAGGTTTCGTCAGTATCGTTTCTGGCTGATTTTAATACATCAATCATATTCAGAGTTGCGAATAAACGTAATTTCGAATCATTTGTCTTTAAAAGAATATAATGTTTTGTAAAGACCTATTCTGTCGTAAAACGATTCATCTTAACATCAGTTATTTACTAAAGAAGATACACGTTTTTGATTCTTGCAATAATTCATAATAAGATCATTACGATGTCTGTTAAAATTTAGCGTTCTTCTTCTTCTTCTTCTTCTTCTTCTTCTTCTTCTTATTATTATTATTATTATTGTATTTCCTTTGATTTCTGGTGTGTACACATAAGTTAGAAATGGTATCATGAAATTTTCCACTTATCAATTATAAAAAGAAACCCAAAAAACAAAACAAAATGCAAAACAAAAAATACACGCACGCATAAAAAAACCAAAAAAAACCCCCAAAAAACCCACAAATATTTTACATAGATAAAGCCCTTCGTAAGGTGTGGGCTGTACTCCTGAGAACAATTTTTTTGTATTTCTTTAAAGCATGAGCTTCCAGGAATCCCTTCAATGAGTCTACTGGAATCTTTTCCAACAAACCCTATGGCCCCAACTACAACTGGGATTGTTGATGTTCCCATGTGCCACGTTTTTGAGATTTCAGTTTCAAGGTCCTTGTATTTTGATAGCTTTTTGAAGATCTTGAAAGATACATTGCAGTCTGCACGGACTGCCACATCAATAAGGAGGCACTTTTTTGTTTGCGGTCTCTAATAACAATGTCTAGACGGTTATCTTAGATTGTTCTGTCTGTGTGTATTGTGTAGTCCCATAGAATTGTAACAGGTCCTATCTCCGTAACCGGGTCTGGGTGGTGTTCATACAATTTTCTTTCAGTTTCCTTCCCATAGAAGTTGCAGATTTTTCAGTGCAGATTTTTCAGTGCAGATTTTTCAGTGCAGATTTTTCAGTGCAGATATTAGCCCACTCTGTCATGCCGGGTTTTATATTCAGTGGGTGCCAATACCGTGCAACCTGATACAAAATGATCAATTGTTTCTGGATCAATTATTATTATTATTATTATTATTATTATTATTATTATTATTATTATTATTATTATTTCCCTTGGTTTCTGGTGCATACACATTTCTTTCTGTGTCGTAACCAGAGAGCTAAGGTCAGAAATGACATCATGACATTTTCCCTTGTGAGTATTTGTGAGTAGATATTTGATTTTTTCTGTATTTCTTTAAGGCTTGGGCTACGGAAACTTTTCCAATCAATCTGAGGGCTCCGACTACAACTGCGATTAGTGATGTCCTCATATACCACGTGGGCCGAGTGGTTAGAACGCTCGCATTCTGGCCATGAGACCCGGGTTCGAATCTCACCATGGTCGATTTGTTAGGAAAGAGACTTCCTGATGTTATCGGACTGCAGGATTCGATCCCAGTGTGCGGCACCTTTGGCAAGTGTCTGAAAAACCATACCACAGGTTTACCGAAGCCATGTGAGTTAAACTGGGTAGACGGAACCTTTGCAGGCCGTCGGTAGCTGTGCTAGCACGAAGTCACAAGTCACCGTGCCCGAGGGCTTGAGCATACTGGCCTTGTTCAAATTGTTGATTACGCTAGATAACACGCTCTTTCCCAGAAACTGTAACTAAGGTCTACTCGGCATAGTTCCAGTATAAACCACAGATGCGATCTGTGGGTGTTGAATAAACACAAAATGCGCCTGAGCAAGCGTCTGCAATAGGGATTGGCTGGCCGCTCTAGTAGACGGGTATCTTCGAATACGAGTGGCCAGCTATACATTTTTGAGGTTTCTATTTCACGATCATTGTATTTTGATAGTTTTTTTTTGGGGGGGGGAGATCATCAAAAGTACATTAGAGTCTGCAGGGGCTGCCATATCAATAAGAAAGCAAATTCTGTTCTTGCGGTCTTTTCATCACGATGTCTGCGCATTTAGATCTGATTGTTAAGTCTGTGTTTATTGTAAAGTCCCCTAAAATTGTTACAGGTTCTATTTCTGTAATCGGTTCTGGGTGATGTTCATACCAATAGAGTTCCCTTCCAGTAAAAGTTGCATATTTTCCAGTGCAGTCTCTCATGCCGAATTTTATATTCGGTAGACGATGATACTTTTTAACCTAATACAAGATGGTCAATTATTTCTCGATATTTATCACAGAATATGCATTTTGGGTTATCAAAATTTATTAATTTATTGTTTTTATTTCCTTTGATTTCTGGCGTGTACTCATTTCTTTCCGGGTCTCGCCTAGAGACCTAAGGGTAGAAATACCATCATGTCACTTTCCACTGAAATAAAAAATATATATTTTGCATAGATAAAGCCCTTCGTAAAGTGTGGGCTGTACTCGTGAGAAAATATTTTTGTATTTCTTTGAGGCATGAGCTTCCAGGAATCCCTTCAATGAGTCTACTAGAATCCTTTTCAACCAATCCTAGGGCTCCAACTACAAAAGGGGTTGTTGATGCTCCCATGTGCCACATTTTTGTATTATTATTATTATTATTATTATTATTATTATTTGTGTTTGTTATATTTCCTGCTTTGTATCCTGTAGAGCCGTGTCCAAAGTCTACAGAGAATTGTCATGTAATTGATAGCACTTTTCTTAATTTTATGGGATGATCCTAGTAGGGCGATTTTCACAACTTGTATGCTGATGTTACGTGACCACTGTTAGTAAAATTGTCCATTCCTTTTATCACGTGGCCCAGGGCTCCGATTACTATTGGTGCAGCCTCGGTCTTCATTCCCCACATCCTGTTAATCTCGATCCCCATGTCCTTGTATTTGTAAATAAGCATAAACTTCCTTATTATTATTATTATTATTATTATTATTATTATTATTATTATTTGTGTATGTTATTCTTCCTGCTTTGTATCTTATAGAGCCGGGTACAAACTATGCTTGTTTGGCCCTATGGGAGAATTGTCATTTAATAGATAGCATTTTTCTCAGTATATGGGATGTTTCTAGTGTTGCGATCTCGGCAAATTGTATGTTGATGTTTCCTGGGACACTTTTAGTAAAATTGTCCATTTCTTTTTCTCACGAGGCTCAGAGTTCCGATTGCTATTGGTACAGTCTCAATCTTTATTCCCCACATCGTGTTAATCTCGATCTCAAGGTCCTTGTATTTGGACAATTTCTCGATAATTCTTATGGAGGTGTTTCTCTCAGATGCTATGTCAATAAGCATACGCTTCCTGAATGTCTTGATTTTTATCATAATATCAGGTCTGTTGACTGTTATTTCCCTGTCATTCTGAATTTGCATGACCCAGAGGATAGTTACATCATTATTTTGGGTATCTGTGTCTGGTTGGTGCTCATACCATCTCTCAGTGGTTTCGATCTTGTGCTTCTTTCATATCTTTCAGTGCACATATGTCGCTACCTTGTTATGTCTCTAGGTATATATTCATTTTTTTTTACTAGTTCCTGACATCCTGAGATAATATGGTCGACAGTTTCATAATATTTTCCGCAGGTCCTGCATTTCTAGTTAGGTCCATGCATCCATTATTATTATTATTATTATTATTATTATTATTATTATGTTTGATTCGACATCCTATCCGACTCTTAGATGTTTCGACCGGGTGATGATGGTCATATCTCATCTCGTATCCGCACCTTAGAGACAGAATACATTCCTCGGCACATCAGCTGTTCCGTGCAGTGCTGTCATCCGCGCACTTCCAATGATGTCAGGTATACCCAGGTATATGTCTGAGGCAAAA